TTCTTCTTCTTCTTCCTCCTCCTCCTCCTCCTCCTTCAGGGTTTTAATTATATCTTTCCCTCAGAGGAGAAGGAAGCCAAGAGACCAAAGCAGTTCAGTTCTCTTCATGGGAGAATTAAATGTGATCTATGGGCCTGTCATTCTGAGCTGTCAGGGGCACAAAATGAACAGATAGCTACAAAACTGACATCCTGCCCACATGACTCAGAACCAGGAGACTTGGTTTCTTGTTGGTATGTAGACAATCATCTGCTATGAAAAGCAAAGAAATTGTCCTTTGCAATAAACACCCCCCCACCCAAATATCGCTTTAACTTGTTACTCCATCCCATCCCTGACACCTGATCTGTCTTACATTTAGACAACTTGATGGGCTTGGCTTATACATAGCTTATATGTGATGTTGAGGTGGTCCCAGGCCCACACTTAGCATATTAAAAATGTTGCCGGGCCCAGCGGACTCCATATGAGCCTCCAACCTGAACTCATCAGATACTCACCAACTGTGTGGGGTTCTGGTTTCAATTTGTGAATGGAAATGAAAGAGGGCACTGGAAAAGTGAAACACCTCTGGAGGGCATCTGAGTTTACAAATGATAGGCTGCCTTCCAGGATCTACACTTAGTTTTTTTTTTTGATCAAGTGGGGCCAAGATGTGGGGTAGGTCTCCGAAGGTTTTCTTTGCTCTTACCAGACAGTGATAACATTTGCTAAACATACTCATGAGTGGCTCAGTGAGCTCTTATCTATCTGGCATTGTTTGTACTGTGAAAGTGTAATGTGCATTTCAACATCCTATAAATGTTGCCACTCTTTTAAAATGAAGAAATGAGGATTATGTATCCGGAAGATGAGGCTATCAAAGTCACTTTGAATTTGACAGTTCAAGGATTCCTGTGGAGAAAGGTGGATGATTCATACACTTCATCTAGTTAAGCTGCGTAGATAGTTTATGCTCTAGGCTCTTATTTTGTAAATTAAAGTTTGGATATTCATGAGGAAACTAGCCTATCCACTGTGCTTTTTTATCAGTATGTCTCTTGTAATTCCTTTAGTGATTATGTTCATTTGCATGTCAATTATCTAATTAAGTCTTAACATGGTAATAATACTGATGTAGAGAAGGAGACCTACATTTATACAGTACCTGCTGGGCATTTTATATACATTTATATAATTTGAATTTTCCCAGTGTATATATACTTACTTCTAGAAAGGTTAACATCAAAGACAGAGGAAAACCCTGACAAAAGATATACACTGTCCGAAGATAGGTCATTAAAGTGATTTTTTTTTTCTTTTGGTGGACTTCCAAAAAGGTCCATAAATTCTCCTATAATTCCAGTAAAATAGGCTAACTCTGGTTCAGGAAAGAATTCCAGTTTATCTGCAGTTCCATACTTTGATAATTCCTTTCCCTTAGGGCTTTGTGACATCAGTGGATTCTGAGCCCTAGGCAGTTGGCAACAGATGTAACTTTAATTCAGTACCTTTCTGCATAATGGACTGACTTTGGGGGAGTAGGTAATTGCTTATAATAATCAGGACAAGGGAAAATGATTCTGTTATACTTGCATGGTTATTAATATAAATTATAATAAGAAAGTTTCTGCTTGGTTCTCTATTCTGAAGAGCTGATCAGGATCTTAAACCCAATAAGTATTTGTTTTTTGTTTTTAAATAATTCTGGGCTCTTTATGCAGTGTCAACTTGCATATATTTCTTCTTATTGATAACACAGAAGATTTAAATGACTTACATGACTAATTAATCCTTTTCTCTTTTCCTTTTCATATCAGTCACTATGAACAAGACCGTAGTGCACTTAAAAAAAGGGAATGGGAGCGGAGAAATCAAGAAGTCCAGCAAGAAGACGATCTCTTTTCTTCAGGCTTTGATCTTTTTGGGGAGCCCTACAAGGTAGCCGAATATGTATGTAATTTATCTTTCTGGAAAATAGTTTACTTGTTACATTTTGAACTCACTAATGGCATGTAATTTATATTTAAAGTACCTAAGCCATTTCCAGAAGAATATCTTTTACAAGTGAAATATGTACTATATTTGAGGCAATTGCAAGTTTCTGAGGAAGTCTTCAGAGACAAATTCCATCTTCTTTGGGGGGCACAGTAAGATTTGAGAGAGACTTGTGAAGTCTCACAAGTTTTCCAAGGAACTCCTTTCTGTCTACAGTTCCTAAAGCAGGGAACACACCCTTGGGACTTTCCACTGGTTTGACGGTCAATAGGCAGCCCCTGAAGACTTCATCAGAATGCTGGTGGACATGTCTATTTCTCTTCCTAGTCAGTGCCATCCATTGCAAGGTCATTGCTTTACTTTTACATTTTAAGTTGTTAATAATTGTTTAGTGGTTTTAATACTCTTTTAAAATTACTATTTTAATATGGGGAGGGGGGAGGGGGGGAGGGAGAGGGATTCGAGGGTTCACTTCTGTGGTTCATCTTGCAAGGGTACAAGTGAATCTTTCTATGAGTAGAATATGAATGTTTTGACATAATAACTAAGAAAGTTACATGAAGGCTATGTTAACCAGTTTGATGGAAGTGTCTTGGATTGTGTATGAAAACACCACACTGTACCCCCAAAGTGCATCAATGTACACAGTTCCCTTTCATTAAAAAAAAAGAGAGAAAAAAAATTACTATTTTAGAATAAATGAAAAAACCAACTGTTTTTCCAGGTGGTTAATAATAATGGTTAGGAGATTGCCTCAACAGGGGTGGAGACAGAGTGGGTAGTGAGGCTAGGTTGGTTTTCTAGTGGTATTCTAGAGCTAGCGAGTTGCTCCAATATCCATCAAACTGCTGTGTCTACAAGTACTGATTTTACTATTACTGCTCCTGAACCTCCTATTTAGGGTGGAGATTAGGGGTGAGTAGGAAGAGATTATAATGGAAAAATTTTATTGAATTGCTGGCAGCTGGTTGATTTTTATTGAAATTTCGTAGCATTGTAATTTTCTATAATGCAACAAAAACGATGTATGAAATAAAGCAATAGAGAAAAATTTTAAGAGTTGTGAATTAAAAGAGAACCATTTAAGGGACGGTGACTTTTGGAAAAGGAAAGTTCTTAAGGAGGACAGCATAGGCCCAAATACTACTTTTGGGTAGAAAGTAAGCTATTTGGATTGGTGACTACTGAGACCGGAGTCTTGCTGCCTTGTTAAGAGAAACTAAGTAATTCTTATTAGAGTCACTTGGGTGCCTTCCAAATTTGGTAAGCCTGAGAAAGAAGCTTAGCTTGCCTAAGCTACTGGTTTTCAATCTTTCAGTAACAATATAATCTATAAAAAACATTTTTCCTATCTCAAACAATTTCATTTTGACACTAGCTTTGAATGTGTGTACTTAGGTATCTTATTAGTTTAACAAACCTTTATTGAAGATCCAGTATGTGCTAGCCAATTCCAGTCTAGTTTACAAAATGGAATAAAACATAGTCCCTGACTTCCAAGGAATTACTAGTTCTGTGCCAGAGGTCATCACGAATGAATGATGGTGTGGATGCATGGTGACTGGTTGGCTGATAGCAGTGGAGGGATCAGTGAAGACTTTGTATTCAAACTCACTTCAAGGAGTTAGAAGACAATTCTGGACATGTTGAGAAGTTATTACAAGTTCGTAAGTCATGGAATGGCTAGGACAGGTATACATTTTAGAAAGATGATGTTGGGCAGTAGACTGGAGGAAGGTGAATCTAGAGGAAGATACAGAAGCTGTTGTAGTTGATAAGGGGAGCTGCTGGAAGGAAGGATTTGTGGTATAGTAAGTGAAATGATGGGACTCAGTGTGTAATTGGATGGGAGAAGTATGGGTTGAGAATGAGTGACTCCCAAGTTTTTGACTTGAGAGGATAGTGATATCATTAACAAGCTGTTCAGGAAGAAAACAGAGTTGGTGTTTATAGAAAAAAAAATTCAGTTTTGAGCTTGTCGGATTTGAGATGCCATGGGATATCAAGGGAGAGCTATCTAGTAGGCATTGGCTGTGCAGGCTGAGCACTTGAGAGAGGTCAAAAGAGAGATTTAGCTGTTTCTGTCATGTAGGTGGCAGAGGAAGCTGTGAGAATGAGTTAAATTATGGAGTTAGAAGAGAGACAAGAAGAAAATGCTGGGCAGTAGCAACATTGAAGGAGTAAAAGAGGTGGTGAAAGCAGAGGCCAGGAAAGGAAACTAAAAAGCAATCATCAGAGAAGTAGGAAAGAACCATTTAATAAAAACCAAGGGGATAAAAATTTTATACAGGAAGGATTTGCTAGTTACATGCCTTGAAGAGATCAGGAAAGACAGGGACTGTAAAATGGCTGTTGGATTTGTCAGTGATGGCATAATTGGTGACCTTAGGGAGAGCCATTTTATTTGTTGTTGGTGGTGGTCATTGTGGGAAGCCTAACTGCCAGGGGTTGGAGAGTAAAGAGGAAATGGTTAAGTAAAGAAAGAGAGGCAATCAATGTGGACTTGATCTTGCATCGAAGGAGGAAGGAAGAAGGATAAGTTAGAATGTGAAGGGAATAATTATTAGAAAAATGGAAGGAAGATTTTTTTTAAAGGAGAGAAATGTGAGCACGTTTAGAAATTGATGGAAAGGAACCAACATTGATGGGCAAAGAGAAGATACAGAAGAGAGAGGTGATGTTGAGTGGACCAAGGTACACAGGAAATTTAAAAACAAAAATACAGGAAGTAGAGGCGAGGAGACATGAGCCATGTGGAAGAAAGTAGGAACAGAACATCAGGATGAGAACAAAGCAGGAGAGTAGAAAACAGATTGGAGAAGAGCAAGAAGTTGTGGCTTCCATAAATGGAGGAGAGGTCAAAGGACGATAGGTGTCTTGTACTTTCTCAAAGTGAAAGAGGCACAATCAAACAAGTTTTACATCTTATCTTTGGATGGGTTAGAGAAATGAGCTTTTACTCAAAGGTTTTATTCTGAAAATTCAATATTCGCCCCATTCTCAACACAATTATGAGGTGAAGAACCCTTGATTTATTCTCCCTTTCAGAGTGTTTTGTTTTGTTTTGCTTTGTTTTTAAGAGCTGGTGTCTGGGTCTGTCACAAAAGCTGGAGTGCAGTGGTGTGACATAGCTCAGTGCAGCCTCAAACTCCTGGGCTCAAGTGATCATCTAGTCTCAGCCTTCCAAGTATTTCCTTCATAATTTTAAGTCATGGTGAATTCATGGTCTTATACCTTTAAGTTAAATCCCATCTCTTTTTATTTTTAGATGCTGGCAGTATATTTTTGAGTAAGCAGTTAAAGAAACCTGTTATCAACATTATCAGAAGTTCTCAAAAAACATCTGTCTTGGTGCTGCAAGGGTACATCAAGTAGAGATAAGGATGAGAGCATTTAATCTAGTGCAGATCCAGAGCTCTTATGTGATTGGTAGCTTGTTTCATTTGTGCTATTTGATCAAGAGGAGCTTTTATTCTTGAGTGAAAACTATGAAGGAAAGGAATGATGCTAAAGTTTGGTAATCTAGTAATTCTTTTTCTTTTGCCCTCGCTTTTATGATCAGTTGGAATTTTGGGCTGTGTCCAGGCTCAGGTTTCCTCGAGAGGGTGCTGGAGGAGTATGCCTCTTCTTTTTTCCATATTATGATTCTAGAAGGCTCCAAAAGTACCTCCAAAGGCTCCCCAGACTAAGACTGAGGTGAACACCTTTGGAATATCTGGACATGACAGTGGCAATAGGAGTATTAGAGCTGACTTACTGTCCACTAGTAGAAACAAAGACATACCACAGTTTTATCCTACAGTTGTAGTGAGAATAGGAATCCGACAACATAGCTCAATCCGCTGTACAATACTAACAGTGATTTATAAACTAGCCAGTGTGAATACCGCTCCCTAGGACCTACTACCCTTTATTGGCAGAAGGAGAAGTGGTGATCTCTCATATTCCTGGCTGATTTCTTTTCCTTCTTTGCTTTGCATCTACCAGTGTGAGACTGAAAATTTTATGACTATCCCCGGATTTGGTTGTTGGTGTAGAAGTTCTCTGTTGGTCTGTAAAGCTTATGAATTTCAAATATGAGTTTGTGTTATGATGTTGAAAAGGATGTCTTCAAATGTGACTGAAAATATGATTCCACTTGACAGGTCTTTTAGTGTGGAGAGATTGGTGAGGGACTGGCACGTACCAAGCGCCTACTGTGTGCCAAGCATCGTGTGAGGGCTTTATGTATGTTCACATGCAGTCCTTACAACTAAGTACACATTCCCCCATATTTCCCATGAGGAATTTTAACTCAGACATGTGTGGCAGCTTCTTTGCAGCTTCATATCGTTGTGCATGGGGAATCGAGACTTCGCACCCAGTTCTGCATGCTTCCTTACCTGAAACAGGAAGTTGTTTATCCTCAGACAGGAAGTCCTAAGACTTAATAAACTGACCTTCTAGATGACTATGAGGAAGAAACTTCATTTCTATGACCCTAAATTTTCTCCTTTCTGAATTGAATTATTATAATTGCAATAATAATAACATTTTATAGCTCAACACAGCTCACTAAGAATGAGGAAACTGGGGTGTGGAGAGGTTTTGAGTGGCTTACCCAAGGTCATTAATATCGGGGCAGGTCATATGGAGCCCAGGATACTCTGCTGACTCATATGTTTGTTGTAAGGATCCAGTGAAACAATCACGGAAACCTTGCTTTGAAATCTGTAAGGTGCTATATTAATTCAAGTTATTATCATTATTATAATTAAGGTAAAGAAAGAAATAGCAACTTACAGCTTAGGGAGAATAACCATAAAAATAGTAGAATTAGAAAAAAAGGAGTTGCTGAATCTCATATGTTAACCACAATAAGAGAAAAGAAATAAATAAACTTCGCAACAAATTATCTTGCTACTTTTATTAAAGAGATACACTGTGGCACAATAGCCTCCTAGCACACTGGTTTTGCAATGAAATTATACTACTGATTTGTAGATGGCATTAGAAGCAAACTGAGGGAAGTTTGCATTTCCTGAAGTAATGAGAGGCAAAAAGCCTAAATGAAGGAGTGCTGTTAGTCATGAGCCACAAACCAGACGTATAATTTATGCCTTAAAATACTTGGAAAATGCATTTCCTTGATGATAGAGAAATTGTGATTACTTAGAAAATAATGGCTGCAGAGCCTACCTTTAAGGAATCAACCAATTATCTGGAACGGGAAGTAAAGAAGTGGCCAAATTGAAAGAAGCCTATAATTGATTGAAATGGTTAGATTTCATTTTTGCTGTGTTTATAATGTTCAATCAAGATTGCCGAGAATACCTTCTGCCTTAATAGGGTTGCTAAAACTCTGGAGGGTGAAAAAGAACATTTAGTGTGAATCAGAAGTTACTACAGTGTATAATGAGAGTACATCGTGTATTGTGTATAAATGTATTTCAGGCCCCATTGGGTTTTCTATCCAGTGACTCTTGTACCTATATCTTGAGAAATTTAAAAACCGATTGGCAATTTCCCACCTCTGATGGTGGGAAGGCAGAGTTTACTCTGGTGACCTGGATTGCACTGCTAATGATGTGCTGATTGTTGAATGGTGGTGGGCTTCTTTTTTTTTATTTCAGATTAATATGAGGGTACATTGTTTGCATTTGTTAGGTAAAGTTGAAGTTGTAGTTGAGCCCTTCACCCAGGGAGTGTGCTATACACCCTTACATTGTGTCCATTAGGTGCCAGCTTACAAATTCCCTGCCCTCCTCCTCTCTTCTCTCTTCCTCCTTCCTGTCAAGAAGCCCTCCACCCTTTTTTATGGAATACTATTCAGCCATAAACAAAGGTGGTGGATTTCTTGAAGTTCCATGTCTGTGGGTCCTCTGTGCCTAACTGTGCCACTGAGGGGTTTCAAATTTACCAGTATTTGTCTTAATAACGGCCATGTTAATTCATTCTTATAGCCGCAGCATGTCTGTTACACAAAGCATATGGGCCTTCCTTCAGTCAGCAACTCGGAAACTGTCACCAGTGAACTCAACTTTGAACTATCTGCTATACATTTCCTATCACAAGTTTTTTCTGAGACAGTCCCTCTGTGAGGAACCTAATCTATGGGAGGTGGCATCCCTCCATTCCTCCAGCTTATAATAGCCCCACTCCTATTCATTAGTACACAAGAAAGCTACACACCTGGACTATGTGAGCCTAGACCTCTAAGGCTGCAGACATGATCTCACTGAGTTAGACTTGTAATGTAATATTCTTGCTTTTTAATAATTACTAAAAAAAAAACACAGGAAAAGCATCTTTGTATTTTGTAGAAAACTGATGCACGAAAACTGTCTTTTTTATTTATCAAAGGCTCTTGTAAACAAACCAGTGAGAGGACTTCCTTTTTACATATTAGTATCAGACAATTGTCTGTCTCATTTTATGAAATAGAATATGCTTGCTTCCATCAAAGAGAATTCTGTAACCTGTGAGCTTTTCTTATTTTGCCTTAGCTACCAGGAAGCTCAAAGTTCAATTTAATGTTCAATCATAGTAACCAAGTTAGCCTAACTTTGCCTTCTATTTACATACCATTGACTCTAAGCCATTGCAAATCCTTTATTTTGATATATTCAGGATATGAATTATGATTTATTCTATTTAACTTAGCGAAAGTGTATTGAACACTTAATATATGCCAGACATGTACTAAATTTTAGTGATATAAAGATAAACAAGAGATGGTATCTGACTTTTAAGAGCTCATAGTTTTATTCAAGGAAAGAAATCAAAGTGTAATGTATACTGTGTGGTTGGAGGTTCATTTGCTAGACTAATTCAGAGAATTTCAGTTTTCTCCTAATTTTATTCATGTAGACAATATTTTAGACATTGGACAGTTTAGTTCTCCTTATTTCAAGCATATTTTAAAACCTAGGTGTGGGAAAAAAAATCTAAGCATGAATCTGAAGCTCAAATCATTCTAATAGTAAACAGAAATGAGGGAATATTGAAGCCTAGACAAATTTCTCTCCACTGAAGACAAGTTGAACATGTCTCTTCTATTTACTGCTGAAACAAGAACAGGAACGTGACCACATTATTTGCAAGAAAATGAGCCTTGAGGTTCTTGGCTCCTGATGACATTAGCCTAAAGAGAGTAGAATTACTTCTCTGTGGGTGTTGAGATGAGAGTATTGAGGTGTGTGGTGGTTGGAAATGGAAATGGTATTGTTTCTCCTTGTTGAGTCAGATCCTTGAATATAAGCAGGTATGAATATTAGGCAGTGATCTGACCCAAAACATAAATCTGTTTATAGGGTATTGAGGTGTGCGTGTGGTGGAAATGGAAATGGTGTTGTTCCTCCTTTGTTGAGTCAGATCCTTGAATATAACCAGGTATGAGTATTCATTAGGCAGTGATCTGACTCAAGATATAATCTGTTTGAGTCTAGAACAACCCTGCAAATGTTTAAAGTTTGCATCAGATTCTTGGTGGGTCCTCAGCACAATGGAATTTTTTTGTTTGAAATTTAAGGATTGAAATGAGAGGTAATCTTTGGCTGTTTCCAAATGGCTCATTGTGCAACTCAGTTGAAGGACACTGCTGTAGACAAGCAGTTTATTCTTGTCTTTGCTAAGCGTAATTTCTCCCATTATAAATGACAAGCCTAGGGACTTTTAGGGAATAAAAGTGATTTCTACTCATCTATATCTTTAAGATATGTTTTTCAAAATGTACTTTTGAAAACAGAGGAATTATTCTGCTAAGGATTACATGGTGTGTTAATTGTTGAATCACTTGATCAGCACCAAGGTTGCATATGATGCAATGTGAGATGTACTGGTGGGTAAGCAAACTTGAATTCACATACATTTCTTTGATTTTTAAAGATCCTCATCCCCCACAGAACTCCCTTAGCATATACTTAGCATACTTTCCCCCCTTAATCTTTAAAATTCATAATTCTCTAACTGCCCTTATTTCTTTGGAAGTGTCTTTTATGGTTTTACCCATGTTATGAGTTAAAAACTTTACATGGTATATGGAGATTATGCTAATAATGAGGCCAAGGTTTCTGGTTTCATTCTCTGATTACTCCTTCTTGGTATCCTTTGCTGGTTCCTCTTCTTCTTCCTGTGTCTTAAAGGTTGATGTTTCCCAGGGTCTTCCCTGAGCTCAATCTTCTCATTCTACTTTTTCTTTCCTTGGGTGATTTCATGCATTTCTGGCACTTCACCCTCCATTCATCTGCATATTCTCTCATCTTCACATACAAAGAACAGACACAGCCATACAACCTAGTTTTAGAGTGAGATACTAGACTTGGCTAGATAGATTCCCTGTGTGCACCAGGAGACTGGGCTGTGTTAAGGGCACATGAAATACCGCAGCTATTAAACATCTACTCTTACTAGAGAGTGTACCCATGGGGAGGTGGTCATCCCCTCCTCTGCATAGAAAATGTACCTGTAGCTCCTGAGACCTGAAGGCTGTGTAGGATGGATGGTGTCTTCCCCACCAGTGGCCAGTTGCCAACTAGGTCCTCCCATACTGCTGGCCTTCTGTCTTTGTAATATCGTGGTCTACCATAGTGCAGCCTAGGCACAAAAAAGCCCTTTGCCTTTCTGACTTCAGCAGCTTATTCTGGTAACCTCTTTAGTATATAAAGAGAATAATAAAAGTCATTTTCAAGGATGACCAACTGAGCATTTGTCAAAGTCATTTCTAAATATACAGTTACCCACCAATTTTTTTTTTTAGTCATGAAAGCTTTGCTTTCCATATTACAAAACCCATGTGGGAGCTTAATAATTTTAAAAATAATCATAGCTATTTCAATAGTATACCTTACAGGAGATGGTGTAGCTGGTGTGTTGACGGGCCATAGAATGATTTTGTTGTCTCTGTAATTCCTACACATTAGGCTAACACCGCTTTGAAAAGATGACTTTATTTCAGTTTACTCAAGCAACAGCTTAAATTCTTGAATAAATTTTTCTAAATCATCAAAAAGACACAGGAGAGCCTGAGTCACTGTTGATGAACAATCACACTATTTCAAAGTAAATGAGTATGAATCATCAATCGCCCCCAGAATATGTAGGCAGACACCAGTAATTTATACAGTTCTTTGATTAAAAGGAATTAGATTCACTTTACTCATAAGTTAGCTCAATTAGATGTTGCTTAATCCCATGCCTTTTCTAAACTTATTATAGTCATGATAGCACATTTAACTCTCTTCCTTATCCAGCGGGCTAAGCCTTTTGCTATGTTATGCTGTAGTGCAAAGACTGATGTCTGAAAAACATACGTAAGTTGAAAATTCCATTATAATTCCAATGATAAGTAAGCAGAAGTTAATCATGATGTAGAATGTAGCAATTCAGCTTATCTGACCTCAAATAAATCGTTTTTCTAATAAAGTTAATAAATGACACAATTTAATACTGTCTCCTGATATCCAAGCGTGTTTAAGGACAGGCTAGAGAGTACACAAATGTTAATCATACCTGCTCATTCCAAGAAGCTCTTTCAATAGTGTTATTGATTTTTTTCTTACATAGCACATGAAAAGTATGAAATTTTATGGCAGCATGACAATTTTAAAGAACCCTATATGCTAGTCTACTTAGAGCATCTGTTTGAAACATTAACATTAGGAAACACAAACCTATTCATTCTCTCTCCTCCCACCCCCATCTTTTTGTTATTTTAGACAAACAAAGGTGATGCACTTGCCAACCGAGTCCAGAACACGCTTGGAAACTATGATGAAATGAAGGATTTGCTAACTAACCATTCTAATCAGAATCATCTAGTGGGAATTCCAAAGAATTCTGTGCCCCAGACTCCCATCAACAAAAACGAACCAAGCTTTTTTCCAGAACAAAAGAACCGAATGATCCCAGCTCACCAGGATAATACTCATCCCTCTGCACCAATGCTTCCACCTTCTGTCGTGATACTGAATTCGACTCTAATACACAGCAACAGAAAATCAAAACCGGAGTGGCCACGAGATAGTCATAATCCTAGCACTGTACCAGCAAGCCAAGCTAGTAGTCAGCCAAACAAGATGCAGACTTTGACCCAGGATCAGCCTCAAACCAGACTGGAAGACTTCTTTGTCTACCCAGCTGAACAGCCCCAAATTGGAGCAGTTGAAGAGTCAAACCCACCGGTGAAGGAAGACAGTAGCTTCAAGTCTAGTGGAGAAGATGCTTTCAAAGAAATCTTTCAGTCCAACTCACCAGAAGAATCTGAATTTACAGTGCAAGCGCCTGGGTCTCCCCTAGTGGCCTCCTCTTTATTAGCTCCCAGCAGTGGCCTTTCAGTTCAAAACTTCCCACCAGGGCTCTACTGCAAAACAAGCATGGGGCAGCAAAAGCCAACTGCGTATGTGAGACCCATGGATGGGCAGGACCAGGCACCTGACATCTCTCCAGCACTGAAACCTTCCATTGAATTCGAGAACAGCTTTGGGAATCTGTCATTTGGATCACTCTTGGATGGCAAACCCAGTGCAGCCAATTCAAAGACTAAACTACCCAAGTTCACGATCCTTCAAACAAGTGAAGTAAGTAATTTTTAAAGTTTTGTTTTGTTTCATTTTCTTTCCTTTCTTTTTTCGTTAGTTCACTGCTCTAACCTCTTAATCAAGTATTCACGAGCAGCTCTCATTTACCTATTGAGCCATATATGAGAGTCTTCAAGGTCAGAGTCTGATTCTTGATCTTCTGTCACTTGTGACATGATTGATTAACACTCTACAAATACAGTTAAATCCTTGTAATTTGGAATGACAAAAGACAAGGTCAGTGTGAGTGAATGAACAGTTGGAGTTACAAAATAGTTTCAGAAAAAGCATTTGTAGCAATAATATGTACAAATTAAATCCACTGGAGATTTTAATTGGTCATAGGAGTATAAGGGTCGTGAAAAAGTTGCAAGTCACCATAGGCCTTCACTAGCCAATAACATAAACAGAAAATGTAAAAATTCCTTAAGGTACAATAACAAACAAATGTGACTCACTGGATCCTGACGTGGAAGGCCTTCTTTAAGAATTGTAGTTTCTTGAGCACTTGCAGAGCAATTCATTGGATCATAGTGCTATCTTCTCTACCCTCGATCTTCCCTCCTGCATCGGTTTCCTCAGCAGGTTCCTGCGTAGCCCTCTTATTCCACCTCCATCCCTCCTGTTAAAGCAAAAGGCATTGTGACCAACCACAGTCCCACTGGGTTTAGAATGACTAAATATCCTACCCATCTCAGGAATTGTTGCCTTATAAAAAGAAGTCTGGAGGGACCAAAGCCTCTCCCGAAGGAATGAATCACTAATGATTGTATTCCAGGCCTTGTGGCCCCTGGGTGGGGGGCATGTGTGAGGCTGCCCCTCAGACACCACCGTGTCAGCAGCTGCCTTCTGCACCTCCAGCACTTGATTGGAAGAAGTCTCTGCCTTTAGATTGGATTCCTGTACTGCTGAATAAAGGCTTGAAAAGACACAGAGGAAGAAAGTAGGTTGAAATTCTTAATAGGAGTGGCAGGCAGACAGTCTGAAGTTTTGCAGATTCCCAGTTAGTGCTGTCTGAATTAGTGAAGTCTGGCCACGTGGTCCTTTATTCATCCTCAGCAGATGTGGGGAGTTCAGAGGAGGACGGGATACAGAGGGAGGGAGGCCTGCATTTTCTGGTTGTATATTTTTAATATCGTTTCATTTCTGAGGTGATTTTGCTTTTTGTACCATTATTCATCAAGCCCTGTCAAGCTCCCTTCTAAGCGGCTCTCTAGTCTGTCACCTCTTCTCCACCCTCCCTGCCTTCCAACTGCCAGCCAGCGTCACATGCCTGGACTGCTGTAAGAGCCCCTCCTGACTGATCTCCCTCACTCTGGTCCCTCCTCTCTTCCAAACCATCCTCCATGAAGGCAGATGGTTTGGAGGACAGGAGAGACCAGAGTGAGGGCGATGTCATGTCCTCCTGCTTCTGATTCTATAACGCCTTCTCATCACTGCCAGGGAAAAGTCCCAACTTCTGAGTTCCACGTGCAAGGTTCTTCCCTTTCTGGCTTCATTCTCCCTCTTTGGCCTCATGTTTCACCACTTCTTCATACGCAGATGAAATCGAGCCACATAGAGCTACCTATTGTCCCCTGTCATGTCACACTTTATCACACTTCCTTCCTTTTTTGCCTGCTGTCCCCTCAGCCTAGTATGTCTCTCCCTGCCCTTGTCTTTTCAGTGAAGTCCTATTTCTCCTTCAGGTCTGCTCAGTTGTCACTTCCTGTGTGAAAGCTTCCCTGATGACTCCAGCTTAATTGCCAACCCCTTCCTCTGGGCCCCTCTGGCACCTTGCATACGCCCTGATTAGAACTTACTGCATTGTACTGTAGAGATTCAGTCCTGTGTCTGTCTCCTCCACTAGACTGTGAGCTCCTTGAGGGCAGGGAACATCTCATTCTTCTCTGTATCCCAAGTGCCTAGCAAATGCCTGGCAAATAGGAGATGTTCAATAAATGTTTGTTGGATGAATGAATTTCAAAATGGTTACTTGATTAAGTTTTTCAAGCCATAATGTTAATCAGGTAACATGCACAATGGGAAATAATTGCTAGAAAATCCATCATCTATTATATGTTTTACATAGTACTCTATCTGTTTCGGACTCTGCCCTGCATATATACAGTATACAGTCACTGAGAAATCCTAGTCTTAATTTCTGCTGGGTACAGGTTTTTAATACTTAAAAAAGAGAGGGATCTGCTTTGAAAGAAGAGGAGTACAATGAAAGGCAGAGATACCATTTTTATCCCTTCTCTTGCCGTGGAATCTGCCGTTGTTCCCTCCTTACACTGCCGGGAATGGTCTGGAAATAGCACTGCCTGATGAAGCAGTCTGTCACTCTGTTTCCATACCTCACTGGTGGAGTGACTGATCCCAGACCCAGTGAGGTCCACTCCATGTTGTATTCCTCTCTCTCAAACATTCACAAAATGACTGCCCTAGATTCAGACTGACTCCGTGGTTTCATTCACCTAGATGCTCTCAGTGCACTGGCACACTAATGAGGTACATTTCCAAAGACAATCAGAGCTCTCATCAACTCTGCAGATGATCATCCAAGGAGCAACCTATGTGCCTGTAGCCCTTGGTGATAGTACAAATAGACTTTGGTAGAGCTTTATGTGAAAAATGGGTCGGGGCAAAAATGTTATAATCAAATATCAGTGAGGGAAGAACTTATTTTAAAATATATGTCTTAAGAAAGGATTTGAAAGAGCGGTAGAGAGAAGGTTAGGGTCCTAAAGTCAGGGGCATAATTAGAATTCAAGGCCAGTGTGAAAACCAAACAGAGAAAGAAAGGAAATGCGGAGTTAGACAGCCCAATAGGAGAGCTTAGGGGGGTGAAGATTAAAATGTGGTCATAAATATAGCCAGGGTGGAACATTATGGTTCTTTGAACCTAATGGAATTTATGTGGCTAAAACTCTGACCAAGTCTGAAAATTCACCCTATTAAATCTTGATGCACTTTCAAAAGCACTTAACAGTAGAATTCAGCCCTAGTTCCTGGCGCCAAGTGTTCTAGGCATGCGGTTCCAGGTCCCTAGTCAGTGTAGCCATCTTTGATGAGTGCTAGCATTACTTTGAGTTATTACCAAAAAGGCTTATCCATGGGGCAATCACAGTATTTCCTTGAGAATTCTCACCTCTTTCCCTGACTCTAGTGACAGGAGGCTTACATGTAAGTTAATGAAAGGTATTCAGGGACAGGAGAGAGCAGGATGGATTGAATGACCAGGAAACAGACAGCATTCTAAACTATACAAATAAGCAGATGAGATTATATTTGTGGATTAAGAGTTCACAAATCTTTGTTGAAAAGTGATGTGCAAGTGTCTGTCCGCGTTTGTGTGTCTATACCTGTGTATATAACAGGGAGGTTTTTATTCCTTGTCCCTAAAACATCCCTATGCTTCTTAGATTTCCGTGCCAAGGATAGTGATACTAGGAGTCTAACCAGCTTCATCACAAAAGGTCAGCTTTTCAACTTAGGAATGTCATTTTAACAAATAATTTGTTTGTTCTAAAAAAAAAATCATGTTACAGAATTTGTTAACATTCCAGGCAAACAAATAAACAAACAAAAAAACTTACATGCTCTGCAATTGGGTATGGAAGAACTTTCTGGGAACTGTGTCTGAAGACAGTAAAAGACCTATTTATATCAACAAGAAACTGAAGGTTCCCTGCAGATGGTGTTTTATTAGGAAATGAATTTGCTAATAAATGTAGCTTGATATATGATTTCTTTACAGATGTTTTTGTTTATTTTTACCTTCAGATAAAAATATGCTTGTGTAGTAGACTGCTTGCCATTTTGGTACAACCTATTATTAGGATTGTTTGGCAAGTAAATAATTGCATGGAAATGAAAAGATTAATGTCACATGTTAAATGTCTCTATCTTACGTCAATAAGCTGTTGAAAGTACAATACTAATGTGTAGAGTGGCATCACCACAAAGGGTCATTTGCTTTACATACTGCTCGTGCTTGCAATCTGAGGTATCGGAGGCTCCAATTACCTCAAAATTTGGAGTCTCTTAGAATCATTTAGTGTAACTGATGCAGGATTTTTCTTCAGGTTTAGTGGCTAGCCTTATCAACCAGCTGAAAAGTTACAGCTCACATTTGTGACTGTGCGTGTTCTGTTTTATGCCCTATGCAGTGAACGCTGTGAGTGTAATTGGGTTTATTTATTGTGAGGTATATAGTAAACTCTGGTCCCTGGAGTGAGAACTACAGAGGATGCTGGGATCTTATCACTAGTGTTCTGGATGTATCTGTTCAGCTACATACAAATGACAGAGGCAGCACCTTCAAAGAACGGAAGGCCATCTAGCTGCTGTAGGCAACTTATGCTACTCACCTTTCACTTGTACACCACAAATTTAGTTTTTGATCCATTCTTGTGGGAATAAAATATTCAATCCAAAGCTATAACTGGCCTAGTTTCAACCCCATCAAGAATGAATGAAAGCAACCCTGAAAGTCTTTACTCGTTCAGGGTGCCAGAAAAGACACTTGAACTTATTATTTCTTCAATAGATGTGTAGAATCCAGAAAGCTTTGCACTCTCCCCGCTGTCAGTCCATCCCCTGGTGGTTGCGTTTTGTTTATTCTTTTTGACCGACTCTCTCAACCCATTGGTCTCTTTGGTATTCCAATTTATTTCTTTATGACATCTCTTAATCTGCCCCCTAACTTTCGTGTCTTTCTAAGTTAAATGAAGTGACCCCAACTGAGCATCTGAAACAGATAGCAATAAAATATGGAGAAGTCAGAGATGTTAGGAGATGATTCAGTAAAGACTGCCATATTTCAGTGGTTTCAACAGGTGTCCTAAAGAGGAGACACTGAGACCATTCTCTTAATAGTAGGGCTGGTTTACCAGGCATCGGCACATAGGAATAATAAGACAGGGTTTCACAGAGAATAAATGGGAGGTAGATGTTCAACTTGGCCTTGGATACCAGATGGAATTAGAATAGTTCAATGGGAATCGGGAAAGAAG